TGGCAGCCTACAAAGCCACAGAGAAACCCTGTCTCGGAAAACCAAAAAAAAAAAAAGAAAGAAAGAAAGAAAGAAAAAAAGAAACAGGCAGTCTTCTATGTAGCAACTTTAGTCTAAGGATAAATTCCTTAACAAATGGTATATGCCAGAAGAATTACATCCTCCCATCTTCATGCAAGTTAGAAATCTAATCTCTTTTCACCATATCAGAACAATGTGTACAAGTGAAAGGAAAAGTCAACATTTCCAATGTATCTCTTAAAACACATATTCCATAAAGACCACACTTTGTACTGTTTCTTTAGTAACTTTATTGGGATGACTCTCACAAAATGCCACAATTGTACTCTACAGTACTTATCACAGTGACAATTAAGTGCTACTGTAATCATCTAGTTGAAATCTGACTCTTCCACTAGATGTTAAATTGTTCTATGTGGCATTTTAAGCCACTTATGTATCTTTATTGCTTTAAATCATATTAAACAAATAATATCTGAGTGTTAAAAAATGCGGTGATTCAAAACTCTATGCTATCATCAATGTTTCAATCAATTTCAATATAGGATTTCTCTCAGTTGTCTCAGATCCATTTGGAAACCTGTCTTAAATGCATTATCAAGAGAACAGTAATACAAAAAAAAAAAAAAGACCATTGTCTCTGTCTATGCCAAGCCTTTCCTACATCCCCAACACTAAGAGCATAACATGAAAGCATCTGATAATGAACTTGAATGATTTCTCTCTTTCCTGACCATTTATATCTAAAGAGTGATTGACTCCAGGGTACAAAAGGCCCAAGCCACCTTCATGACCTCAGTTGGAATTGCTACTATAGCATCTCAATACTTGTTTTTTAATCTCGTCTGTGCCCCATTATTATGATTAATTTTATTTAAAAGATACATATATTTCAAATCCTACTGAGGAACAGAGATTTAACACACCTAAAGCCTAATTTGATGAATAAACTTCAAGCAGTCATTAATATCATCAGAACATTTAGAGCTAGATGTAAAATCCATTTCTAGCTAAAATGGACTAACATACTAGGGACCAAATCTTCTCTAAACAACTCAGTTATGTAGCTTGAAAAATGGGGAGGGGGTGGGAGGCATCAAAGAATTGCTAAGGCAACCAGGATTTGAAGACTGTATACCACAAGAGAAAAAAATCTGGGCAAAGGGCCCAGATAAAGAGCCAAAGATTAAGTGGCCAAAGAAACAATAAAACACAAAAACAAAGACAAAATCTTTAAGAGCACTTTTGGCAGTCTAATCTACTGAGGATTAGAGATAAATATAATGGACTTGGAGAGTTGGAATATTGAAAATGGCAAGTCCAGAGAACTTTATCTAACAGTTTACTAGCTTTTCCTCTGATAAATCCTTGAGCAAACAAGGTTTAAAAAGAAAAATCAGGAGATAGCTACTAAAAGACAAAGAATATCCAGAAAGCCCATTAGAGCAAGGGGAGATTAATTAGAATTTAGAGCTGGGATGAGATGAAATCTAAATGAATACCCCCCAAGATTTCAATGAGAACCCATGAAATGTGACTCTTAAAAAGAATGCAAGCAAGAAATAGATGAATTCTTGGCAAAAATGGACTTTAATAGAGATGAAAATTGATCATGTAGAAAGAAAGAATTGAGAGACTAGGATTCACCAATGGAAAAAGTGCCATCAAATATGCTTGGCTCTTGCTTTAAAGAGAAGACAAAGGGAAGCAATCAGGCCAGCCAACTCATGGAACAACCCACTCTGATCTCAACCATGCCCTACAGCAATCTCTTCCCATTTTTATCTGTCTAGCAGAAGAAATCTTGTGAGGGATGGAAAGTGTTACCCTGAGTCTCGATTCTGTTTATTCACACTTTCCAACATGCAGCAAAAGATTATTAGGCAGACTGCTGCATCCTATGGAAGCAAGAACAAATAATTCTATTATACATACTTCAGCAGTCCAGCTATTCTGAAACACTATTACTTGCTATAATGATTTCAGTAAAGTTTTAATAACTGGATGTTAAACTTGTAGTTTTTGGCAAGAGACCAATGTAGAAGTTGCAAGGCTCCTAAGTACAGATCTATATGCAGTCACTATTAGCCAAGAAGACAATGTAGTTAAGCAGTTACACAAAATTAAGATAAGATACATGTCTGAAATAATGACCAACCCATCTATACACAGAAGTACCCTAAAAGATTTATGCTCCACTCAAATCCAGCACAGAAAGTAAAGTAATGATTTGTGGATAAGAGGGAAAACTGTTCTAAGTAAAGATTTTTAAGGATCAGAACTAGAAGCTGGACACAAAGGACCAGGCTCTTTCTTCTAACAGTAATAAATGGTTTGCATTCTTCCTGCCTCTGAAAACAAATTTACATGAAGATAACTTGGGATACACTTTGTGTGTGGTTATGGTGTCAATTTACTAAAGGAAATATGCTTCCTTTTCAAATTTTGTAAATATATTTATTCACGGAAAACTTAGGAGTGTACATTTGACCCAGTTCAATAGCAAGTTCTTTGGCCTTTGCTTTTTCCACCTTGCCAATGTGAGCCATTTTGATTTAGGACCCAGGGCATTCCCTCCCCAGTGGTGGCAGATCTAATCTTAGCTGTCATTGTAATTGATCCTAATAGCTTCCACCAGCTTAGTTGTCTTCTGAGTCGACCTGTGTGAAGGCAACAGTGGTGCATGTCTTCCTGGGGATCAGCCACCCTTTCCCTGGTGATGTAGTAGGGGAACCCCATCTTATGACACAAGGGCAGGCAGGAAGACCACCAGTTTAACAGGGTCTGTGTTGTGGGTAGTCACCACCAACTGAGCCTTCTTGTTCTCTACCAAGGTGGTGACTGTACTGACCACTGCTCGAAGGACTTGTGGTCTCTTAGTTAGAACATTCCCTTTGCTAGCAGCTTTCTTCTCATCTTGCCATCACGGGTCAGCAGACTTTAATGCTTCTCCTGCTTTTCTCTGGCCTGTAGCTATGGGCAAGCATAAGCAGCTGGGTAGCAGTTTGCTGGTCCAGGGCTGGGGGGAACTGGTTAATGGCAGGGGATATGCTAAGCTGCTTACAGAGGACATCCCTTTGCATTTGAGGAAGTGTGTGAGACCTCTTTTGGGCTGGATGTCCTGCACAGTGCCTTGTCTCAAATAGAGGATTCACTACCTTTTTGGCCTCCTGTTTCTTCACAATGGTGAGAGCCAAGGTCACCTTCTTCCCCTTGACTTTCTTTCCTTCAGACATCTTGCTAGGCTGGAGGAGAGATCGAATTATGTTTTCTACCTATGATGGACTCTTTGTTTTTTCTTAAAATGCTATTTGATGTTTGGCTTCTTTAGATTAGTGGTCAAAAGGCCAACTTAGAAAACAGCTAAAAAGCAACACACATAAGAATAATGAAACATCTTAAACACATTCAGAAGAACTTGCTGGTGAAAAATTCCACTCTCTAAGTGATAGCTGAAGTCAGCCTTTGATTTATCTTAGTAATAAAGAACCCTGAAGTGAAATAATAAATAAACGCTGAAGCAGATCTGGTGGCAGGTACAAACTGAGAACAAAACTGCCTGTCCACACTGAGGCTTCAGCTCCAGCAGAAAGCTGATAATATACTTACTAACAAAATATAATGTTTTTGTAATGTCCACACTAAGAATTGAATTCAGCAGCTGAAAATCAGGGAAATTCCCAGACAATTTTTTCAAGGTGATGTATGGATGAAGTTTTTAACAATTTACATTTCCATGTACTGAATTTCTTTTAATTCAGACACCACCACCCCCCCCCTGCATGTTTGAAACGGGGTCTCTCAGCATAACCCTGGCTGTCCTGGAACTCACAGAGATACATCTGCTTCTGCCTTCCAAGTGCTGGGATTAAAGGTATGACATGACACCCACCCTGCCTTTAAATTTCATTATTCATTATTTTCTTCAGAGAAAGCAATATTTGCTGCTGAAAATACAAAAGCATTTAAAATATATATGGATATTTAAATTTTGGAAAGCAAAACTAAAACAGTCAAATGTAGCTATGTATACAACACAATCACAAACATACCAAAACACCTGCCATTTTCCATTTTGATTCACATTTATTAGTATTATAGTGTGTGTGTGTGTGTGTGTGTGTGTGTGTTATGTAGGCATATGTACATACGTGTGTACATGCTATGGAAGCCAGATGTCAATGCTCTATTTCTTCTTCAATAGCTCTCTACATTACTTATTGAGGAAGAGGTACTCCTTTGTGGTCAAAGGTCACTGATTAGGCTAGTCTAGCTGGCCAACTTGTTCTATGTTATCTAATCTACCAACTCAGAACTTTCATAGTTTTCACGCTCACAGAGTAATAACTCTACTCACTGATCATCAACCTAACACACAGCATTACCTTTAAACATGAAACATGTACTACATTTAGAATACTGTTAGGCACAACTAATGAAAATTCCTATTAAATAAATCTTATTAATCAAATCAAATGTCATTCTTTCAAATCACATGAAGCTTTTCAAGTTAATATTTCACAATACTCCCATCTGTAACTGACAGCAACAATCAGGATCAGGATTAGACACTTTACACCAAAACACCAAGTAAAAGCTGGCACCAAACTAAGCTGCAACAACTAGAAACACAGAAAGCTGTACTGTGTAAACCAAAAGCATTTCTAAGATATATTTTTAAATAGACATACTTATCCCAACCAACAGCTCCTATCTCATTCAGAAGGTCGGTGCAGAAACCTCGAGAAGGCGGTTGTACACACAACTCTCGTCTACGCTTTAAAGCAGCTTCCTGTTGGAAGAAAAAGATTTTAATTGGCTATGGAATTCTAAAGAAAGAATTAGTAACTGATTACAAAACCAAATTTCGTAACAAAGGTGTATGCTATTTTTATAGAAAAACCAGGTACTGGTATGTTTTGTTGTTACTGTTCAAAGTGTTGTGGACAACACCAGGCACAGCACCAGAGTCTCTATGGAATAATCTAGGGAAACTGGAAAATAGCTACCAGAAGAGTAATGAACATTCTAAACAGGTTTTACAGAGGTTGAAATCCAGACTTTAACCTTTCCTGGTTTAGACAAATTATTTAGACTCACTGTTATATTTTATATGCATTAGTGGTTTTTATTGATGTTGTTGCTGTTGTTTTGTTTTATCATGTGTGTCAGGTCCCCTGGAACTGGAATTATAGACAGTTGTGAGCTACCATGTGGGTGCTGGGAATTGAACCCTGGTCCTCTGGAAGAGCAGTCAGTGCTCTTAACCTCTGAGCCATTTCTCCAGGTCCTGGTTTGGTTTTAAAATAGGTGGAAATAAAATAATCCACCTCACAAAGTTTTCTTCAAACATTCACCATTTTCAATATTTAAAAATAAACATGCCTAGATATTACTACAAAATACTACAAGAAATTTACAAACCTTCATGCACAGATTCCATAGCTACTGACTTCATGTGAGCACCACTTTCCAGGCCATCACTGTGAACTTAGTACACTGTCAGTAAGAACATGGCCTCAGAAATAAATTAGGTATTCTCACATTTCTAGGTACATTATCTTAAACAGTAAAAAAATCACCAACTTTGACTATAATTTATGAAGAAAGGTAGAATACAGAATCTCATTTGGATTCAGAAACACAGCACAAACATACAAAACAAAGTACTGTAAGTCAAAGATCAATGAGATGGTCTTACATTAGCTGAAATTAATAAATGTTTCTTGAAAATTAAATGACCAATAGAGCCATAATTTACAATCCAATAAGAGTGTAATGGGATACAGTCTTGTTCTGGCTCCATGTTCTTATATTTGCATATTAAAAATGTAATAAACAGGAGAAAATTTCCAAATTTTTCTCAAATATCAAGGCAATATGAAACAAATGTTTCTTTGCCTTACTCTTTTAAAGTTCCTATCTGTGGTCTTTGGTATAATTTGGTAAGTTTGAACACATGTGAACATCCAAGGACAACTTCGTGAGGTTGGTCCTCTCTTTACACCTTTATGGGAGTTCTGGGCTTGAACCCAGGTTGCCAGGCCTACATGCCAAGTGCCTGTACCTAATGAGCCATCCCTAATTAAATATTTGGAAGCATGCAGAAAGCACTTAGCTAAAGATATATACAGAGATATATTTATAAAGAATTGGTACAACCTCTAGGATTTCCTGTTGAAATACTATATAATCTCTTCCAAAAATTTTGGGCAAGCAATATGATTGATAAAATGTTGATGTTAGGTCATCAACTCAGGTTATTCACTATAACCACCTCTTTTGTTCATATTGAAAAAGCTCTTCAGGAATCTGTATTTGTATAAAAAATTAATTACATTTTATACTATGTCATTAAGTATGACTATCTCATGCAAGCAAAAGGATCTGACTTCAATTCCCGTCACCCATATGAAAAGGCCAGACATAAAAGCATATGCCCATAATCTCAGGTCTGGGGATGGAGAGACTGGAAGATCTCTGGGGTTCAATAGTCTGCCAAGTTAGCCAAATCAACAAGCATCAGATTAGTGAGAGACACCACCTCAAAGATAAGGTGGAACACAATCAAGGAAACTCACAGTCGAGTATGTCCACATACATGAAGATCCAGGTTCATATGCCCTCACACATGTGCACACATGCAAACACCAATACACAGACACATATCACTAAAAAGTTTCAGAAACAACCAAGACTTAGTACAAAACATTGTTGGGAAAAAAATCTTACCAAAATCATCTTCAACTCCATCATAAAGCTCACTAGATCAGGAGACTGCTTCATTCTCTAAATCGAAACATTTTCAGTTAATAACTCATGAAATGAATGCTCCATTCATTGAAAATGCAATGAATGTGGACAAAGGATTAGCTACATCTAAATCTTAATAGTATTAATTAGTCATCACTTCTATTCCTACCAATTTCATTTGAAAGAGTAACTAAGACTTCTGCCTTAGTTTACTTTCTACTATTGTGATAAACACCATGACCAAAAGCAACTTGAGGAGGAAAAGGCTTATTTCAGCTTACAGCTGTAGTCCATCTTGACAGCCAGGGACTAGAGGTAAGAACTGAAAGCAGAGACCATAGTAGAGCACTGCTTAAAGCCTTGCCCCTGGGGCTTGCTCAGCTTGCTTTCTTCTATCACCCAGGACTACCTGCCACAGGTGGTATCATCACAGTGATTGCCTTCCACAGCAATCACTACAAGGAAATGTTCTACCAACCTGCCGACAGGCCATCTGATGAAAACAAGTTCTCAACTGAGCTTCCTCTTCCCAATAGCTCAAGTTTGTGTCAGTCAAGTTGATTAAAACTAACCAGGACTTCCCCCAAGTCTATTTGGGTGAAAAGTAGTGAATTGTGGACGAATTCAATTAAAACTGCACACTTGCCTTCATTCCTTCAGTATTCATCATTGAAAGATCTAACAAATACAGAAAAGCATTATTTTAAAAGAAAGGGAAGGGCAAAGTAAAGATATGTGAATGGAAAGAGGAACATAAAATATAAAATTCTAACTTCTAAAATCTAGTGTGGTGGTTTGAAAGAAAATGGCCCCCAAAGAGAGTGGCACTGTTAGGAGGTGTGGCCTTCTTTAAGTATGTGTAGTCTTGTTGGAGGAAGTATGTCACTGTGGAGGCAGGCTTTGAGTTCTCATATATGCTCAAGATACTGCCCAGTGTCTAAGACTACTTCCTGTTGCCTGCAAGATGTAGGACTATTAGTTAATTCTCCAGCACCATGTCTGACTGCACACCATGTCCCACCATGATGATAACGGACTGAACCTCTGAATTGTATGCAAAGCAACCCATTTAAGTGTTCTCCATTATAAGGGTTTCCATTGCCATGGTGTCTCTTTACAGCAAAAGAACCCCTAATTAAGACATCTAGTTAATGTGTTAACTAGATATATTAATAATGGCATATACTTTGTTTCTTGACCTTTAAGAGCATGGATGGCCATTTTCATTCTTTCACAGCTAAGTCATCCTAATTTAAAAGGAGAAACATCCACTAAAATAAAACCTATTATAATAAAATGGCAAAAATGGCTATCCCCTATAAAACAGAATGAATATTTCAGAGATCTGGTGTTCTATTTCTACAAAATTCTTTATTCTTAAAACAACTATATAATAAATGGCCACATCTTAGAATGTTTTCTTAGACCACTACAACATTTTTCTGCTTTAAACAAACAAACAAAAAAATACTGCTTGCTTTGTGTTTCTGTTTTGCATTGTGACACATTGCATCAGCCCTACAATGTTCTAGACAATGCTAAATGTAAACTTGTTTCACATTTTCAGAAGAGAAAATTATGATATTTGAACAGTATATGCAGCCAAATCATTCATATAACATGGCTCTGGTGGGACACATGCCTGTAGAGTAAAACTTTAACCACTGCTGTTTCTACATGGAACAACTTGTATCAAAGCCCCATATAATCCATAGGCCAGCTGCTGAACCCAACTCAATACCTTGTTTTATAATGAGTTTTACTGGTGCATCCACACCCATGTGTCCTTCATATATGCCTCTTTAGGTGCTGCTGTCAGAACAGAGAAGCACAACTGACAGGCTTGGTTGTTCATGAAACCTGAACAAGCTTTATAAAAAGTTTGTTGACTGCTTGGGTCACATTTACCCAAAGTAGTAGAAGAGATAATTAGTAACATTCTACTGAACCTTGGAAAGAAAGAAAAAATTGAATGTGGAGTTGTCCCTGACCAGCTGGAAGGCAGTGGGAAAGTAAGTGATGGCAACTTTAGGACTCTTCTTTCAGAATGAGCCAAAGGGAGTGAGGTATTTGTTTCACTGTTTGCTTAGCTCTCTGAGCACATTTCTCAGGCTATTCAAATGACTCAATGGACTTGTTCTTAAACTTCCATGCACAATATATATTAGTCATAAGAATGAGGGAGCAGGGTAAAGATAGTAAAGACAGTCTCAACATTCCGTTACAGCAATACTGAGCTTATAATACTAGCACAACAGTTTACTCTTCTAGTCAAGCAATTCATCTCCCACTCTCCTCTGTGACTCAGTGACACTTCATAGAGAGTTAGCATCCTTGCCCATTATCACAATAACATATCTTTGACACAGAATGTAATACGGAAACCCCGGAAAATCACACAAATGAAAAGATCATTAAAACAAGTGCAATTCTACTAACATTTTTCTGGAAGAGACATTGCATAATTTTCATTTATTTCAGTAATAATTTCTTTTACAATGTTTCTATAATCTTGGAATGACTTTTCAGATAGGGTACACCAAGCACTAAGAATAACTAACTTAATGCTCCTGAGCTCTCTCCTTAGCCACCCTTGGCTCCTCTCTTTATGAAAGGTCACAGGGACCTAAGTGACTTCCTTTTCACCTTTCTTCTTATAAACTAGAACTACAAATCCTTATTGCCATGCACAGTCTAGGTTCAGATTTTTTTTTTTCTATCACCACTCTGCAACTTCAGCAGACAAATCAACAAGGAAATGCATATGAATAGGGTGACCACATTTGAAAACATAAAGTCTCAAGTCTGCAAATAATATCAAAGCCCCATGATGCTTTGACATTTGCTGAGGATTCCAGAAAACACTCTATGTAATACACAATCTTTAAAACACTTGAAAGCTTTAAAACACAGCAACTAATAAACCAGAATGTGTACAAATCAGGGCTTTAAATAGTAAAGATAGTAATATCTATCCTTATTTTAAAGCATAAGACTTTTAACAGACTTACCTGTTGGACTATTTGACGGTATTCATTAAGTATATTTTTCAGTTGCCAGCTACACAGTAATCTAAAATTTTAACAGGAAAAAATAGCTTATTCATTGTTTCCAATTACAAGGAGAAAAATGTATTTGTATGCTAACATGTACATATAGTCAAAAATCATATAAGCATAATTCTGACAAGTAAATAAAATTACTAACCACTCTTAAAGCAGAAAGTCTCATCACTTCAAATACAGACAATAGGTATTAGTAAGCAGCATACTAATAATACATCTTTTCTAAACTAAACTATAATATGTCCAAATAAAAATTCCATTGAAGTAGATGCTTCATCATAGTAGGCATATATAATACATAGTTTGGAACATAATATATCAAATTTGTACCTGAAAAAGCCTATGTACAACATATTCTCCAAATTCTAGATTACTATAACTGAACAGATACTTTAATTATATAGATGTTGATAAGTTCATCACCTCTAGCTCACCACAACTGGCACACAATATGGGTAGGTCAGTAATCTTCTTAAGGAATTACTTTAATTATCTAGATGTAGAAAGTCTGACTTTAGGGTCGCCAAGAGCACTGATTGCTCTTCCTGAAGATTCAAGTTAGATTCTAAGGACACACATGGCAATGCATAACTGTTCATAACTTCAGTTCCAATGGAAACAAGGCCCTCACCTATCTCAATAGGCATTCACATGTTTCACAGAAATATACACAAACAAGACACTTAAATACATAAAATAAAAATAAGTAAATGGGCCAGCATGATGTTGCACACATTTGATTGTAGTGCTTGAGAGTCAGAGGCAGGGGGATCTCTGAGATGGAGTGTTGGGGGATATTCAATCACATTATGAACCCAAGTTTGGATTCCCATTGATTAAGTAAAATTAACCTTCATCAGGAAGCTGAGTTAGTAACTAGTTGTCAAAAAGTAATCATAGACTATAAGAGGGCATCTGGAAGAGATAGGGAGACACAGGAAGTAGTAGGGAGGGGTTTGGAGTGATGTAGCTTTTTCTGGTTTGGCAGAGATGCCAGAAATGAGAAAGGGTTAGCCAGTTGCAACTCAGTCTCTCTGAGCTTACAGGTTTACACCCCAGCTTTTGAATCTCTAGCCATATTCATAAATAGAAAGATGGAGATTTAGTTAAATCTACCTTTAGTGGTAACATCAGGGCCAGTACCTGTGGGATCAAACCCTGCCCTAAATAGCAAGGCTGCTGCAATTGATGGTTGAAATAATATTAGATGAAGGCAGAGCACCACTGTGCTGAAATGAAAACATTTGGCAACCAACATAGGGCACAACTACAGGGACAAAGGGGTCAATGCCAGCCAGTTCTTCCACAGTGGCCTCCTGGGTCTTTTCCTGCAAGCACTGACAGCAAGCAGCTGCTACTTGCTGGGACTCCAGAAAGCAGGTTTGCATTTGGAAATTGCAGGAAGGGCTTGAGTTCATCACTGAAACCACACACTAACAACGAGAAGTCAGCAGAATTGGCAAGATACCTAGGGAGTCTTCTGGAGGAGAGGTAAATAATATTAAAAAGGAAATCTTTCCCACATTAAGAATGGGTAACATCACAATACAAGGCACTAGGACTCTGTATTGCACTAGTATGAATGGTTTGAAAATAGAAAATTTAATGAGAGAAGAAACAACTTAGCTGGGATTGACCTAATACTGATTTTAATTAAGATTTAATTCTTAACAAAAAAGAATTTTAAGTTTGATAACTGTGTCAAATGAAATTTGACTGATGAGGTACAAGCCTTAACCAATGAAAATAAGAAAAATTTGATTCATGAGATACACACTTTAGAAAGACTTACTAATGAAAATACTTGACTTCAGAGCAGAACCTATGGCGGTAATGCATTATGAAACTGAAGAGCATGGCCTAAGGTTATTAGAACATCAACCTTAATTTATCCAGTTAACATACAAGAATGACATCCAGATATTAGGCATCCTCAAGATGATGCAGAAGTTAACTGGAATACTGTAGAAATAATAGGTTTTTAAGAGATTGAAGGAATCAGTCATTTCATATTATATACACTCACCATTTGTGACATAGCTGTTAAATTCATGATCACATAGAACAAAATTATTCCAAAATACTAAAAGATTTACTTACAGCAGTATTGGAAGCTGGTCCTCAGTTACAATGGAAAACATAGTGAAAAGAGGAAGCTAGGGTCCTAGAACAATGAAATAGGGCTAGAGGTCATGAAATTTCTCAAGACCTCTAGGTGAGGGCCAGTATGTGGATTTGCAAAGACAGTCTATATTTGTTGATAACACCTTGGTTGTATGCCACATAACAGCTTTGAATGCTTGGAGCAAAGTTGAAGAATCAGGAAAGAGTCTGAGTCATTTATTAAAATTATGCAATGCCCAAAAGAAGCCTTCACTGATTTTTTTTTCAAATATTGACCAGAGCTGCAAACAGAATGATATTAGATCAAGATGTTAGACAAATATTAATTCAGAATCAAAAAGGGTAATTAGGCCTTTAAAATCAAGATCAGCATCCATAGATGAGTGGATCGAAAATATAACTGATATTGGATCTAATACTTCATATGATAATTAGAAAAGAACTCTTTCCTGATTCTTCAACCCTGTCCCAAACATTCAGATGCTTTAATTTTGGTAAGCTAGGTCATCTAAAAAGGGATTGTAGGCAAGGTATTCCTAGAAACAATATTTTTTCTAATGATAATCCAAACATAACCCCAAGCCTTCTGAAATATGTTGAAGGTGTGGCAAAGGCTGACAATGAACTAGTGAATGCAGACCAGCATAAGACAGGCAACTTAATTAATCCTTTACCATCAGGAAGCACCTCAGTGGGCCTCTCACAGGTCCCAGTGTCAAATTTGCTTCAATCATTCCCTGTCAGCATTGATTAAACATCTCCACAGAGCAATTAAAAGACTTAATGACTGTTGTTAAAAACCACACTGCTGTGGAAAACAGAACAGCTTCAGCAGATAAAATAAAAATTTCAGGAGAGATTGTAACAATAATTATTTACTCCAAAAGGTTTCTGAATTGACTATGAAAATAAAATTGAGATTTCATCAACTAGCAAGAACAGACCCAGCAGAAATTATAGTACCTTTTATTAATGCTGAAATTGCCTCATTATAGAAAAAAAATGAACACTGGTAAAGAGCTTGCAGTTTTCTTGGGAGAGATTCACAACAATTAACACAAAAACAAGAGACTTCAGTTTATAAAAAGAACTAATTAGATTCTCCTTTATATAATAAAAAGAACATCAATTTCTGGAGCTCCTACATTCTATACTGATGCAAATAAATCATGAAAGGCAGGATACAAATCTGGAAAATTAAGTGGATCAAAGTCCTTATGATTCAGCTCAGAAATCAGAATTACATGATATTCTCATGGCATTATTAGATTTTCCAGAACCTCTTTATATAGCTCTTGACTTTCAATATGCAGAAAGAGATTTTTACATATTGAAACTGCTGAATTTATTACGGATAATTCAGAATTAACTTTATTATTTATTCAACTATAACAAGTAAATGTAAATAACACATACCAGGTCCCATAAAGGGATATCAGGCACAAGGTAATGATGAAATTGATGAATTATTGGTAGGAAATGTGTGAAAAGCCTCAGAGTTTCATTAGAAACACCATTTTAACCAGCATAGAGTGAAGATGTTTTTTCTATCACTTGGCAATGAGCCAAAGCAATTAGACGAGAATGTTCTACTTGTTATTTTTATAAACAAACTATTTTACTGCAGGAAGTAACCCAAAGGGTACTCAAAGAAATGAAATTTTGCAAAAGAATGTGTTTGATTTTGCAGAGTTTGGAAAATTAAAGTATGTGCAGCATACCATAGATATATATTCAGGATTTTAATGGGCTTTAAGTTCTGAAAAGGCTGATTCTGTAATTCATTTATTAAAAGTCATGGCCATTATGGGGGAAACTGTACAAATTAAGACTGTCAATGTTCTAGCACATATCTCTAGTAAAATAAAAGCTTTTACATGTTAAAACATAAAACATATTACAGTTATTTGACAAAATCATACAGGACAAGCAGTTATAGAAAGATGTAACTGTACTTTAACAGCTATTCGTAATAAACAGAAAGAGGTTAAAAAAACAGATATAGATTATACAGTGTTTTAGTGACTTTAATTTTTTAAACGCTAATGAAAAAGGAACAGCTGCAGAGAGATAATGGATGATAGAAAAACTGCTGAATTAAATCAGCCTATAAATTTTAAAGATGTGTTGACCTCAGAATGGAAACCAGGATTTGTATTGCATTGGGGAAGAGGTTTTGCTTTTATTTCCTTAGTAAAGAAAAGCTATGGATACCATAAAGATTGATAAAAATTAGATTAAGACAGGAGAGACCTCTTGATTAGGAGAGGCAACAGTTCATCAAATGGCTTGGTCACTGAATCCAAACTAACTGTAATGTTTTACTATTAAAAGATAACACTTTTTCTGTTGCCAAAAAACATTTTGCCTTAACAAAAATATAACCTAATGAAAAGGAACTCCCCAATGTTAGAGTTGGAAAGAGGTGTTTTTTTTTTGTTGTTTTTGTTTTTGCTTTTGTCTTTCCAGGAGAATAAAGACATCCACCTAAGGAATCTGAAGACCACTTGACAAATGAGACATCTTAAAGATGATTCAGACAGAGAAAAATGCCCCCCCATCAAAAAAAGGAGTAAAACTGGCCTAACAATATAGCACATTTCCAACAAGATAAGATTTCACAAATTTTCCCAAATGTTTGTTTCTGCTGTTCTCTACAAAATTAAAAGACAAATGGTCTTTTTGTGGTCCAAATTCAGTTAAAAATCAAAGTTGCCTTTGGAGTTGGAGCATGTCTCATTCCTTCTCTAAACCCAAGCATTCCTGTTAAAGGAAAATCTAAAATCTCTGTCTTATGTCAGAAGAGACACCCAGTATGGGACAAAAGACAAACCCAAATTAAGGGATTATTCTATTGCCATTATTCTCATAATCCTTTGGTTTTACTTTTACTCTTTACTAGTTTTTCTTAAATTATAAATACTATCACAAAATTTAGAAGATTAATATATACATATATATTTGAATTTTCTATTGTGATATTAATGGTCATATAGAGTACTAACTAATTCTAGAAATAGACTTCACCTAGTTTCCTGCATGTGATTTAGGGCTTGAGTCTGAAGCAGGTAACTAGGAATTAAGTTTGTGTACCCCAGATATGCTTAACAAATTGTGGTGCTTTCACCTTTCTGAGATCTGCTGCATATGATTTTTAAAATGTTTTAAGTTTTCTGCAGCGAACCATGACCATGCCTACCAGTGACCTGTGAAGTTGTCCAAAGGATTATGGGGCCCCACAATGATGTTTCTCCCCGGATTGTAGTAACACCGATAAGCTGACAAACACGACCCAAAGACCAGTTTTGAACTATAAACTGCTCAAAACAATTTCAAGGCAGTTGTCTAGGATAGTCTAGCCTCACATACTATCCCAGCCAGGACTTCAGATAAGTCCTGTACTTTCCCATTACACACAGACTGAAGAACCAGTGTTACACCTAGTTTTCCCAGGACTTGAACATTATCTCACTTTACTCAGGGTTCGCTAAAGATGAAGTCACCCCCAGACAACAAGTACTAAATTTAAGAATATGACTCCTACATTCCTAAGAGGTGAGATGTGTGGTTTTTGGTCATTCAGTGGGTTATGAATGTTTGTCATCATTTGTGGAGGGGGGTTGGTTGCAAACTGTTACTGGTCATGGTAAGGAAGGAAACTAAGCAGGGAGGTTAGATTCAAAGGTCTCTTTCTGAAAGAAAAAAAAAGGGGGGATATAAAAAGGATAAAGTACCTACTTTAAACTAAAAAGCAACTATTAATCTCAAATATTTTACATTGATATGAATTGTTTTATATTGATAGAAATTTGTTATATTTGTTAGAATACACTTTATATATGTCCCTACTCTTGTTTAACATATTTTGTATATTTATACAAATTTAAGGTTATTTTTGTTAGACTGTATATAAGTTTCTACTCTTGTTCAAGGTTGTACCTAAGCAACCCATTTAAAAATATAATGTATAATTAAGAAATAGAAGTTAGCTGTTAGTCACCTATAATAATCAAAGTTTAGTTATGTTAGGTATGTTTTCAAGATTAAACAGAGATATATTTTAGATAGACAGGTGGTCTTCAACACTTCAGAGACCTAGAGAATATGTCATTTAAGATGTTTAATAACCTAAGGCTTTTCATAACAGTGAAATACATCTGCTCCTCAAAGAACCAGTTTACTTCAAAAAAGGGTGATAGGCATCAAAGATCCTCCATATGGAGTTTGTTTTCATTGTGGCAAAGTTAGCCACTGGGCAAAGAAACAGTCCTTGCCTGAACTGGTGACAGTATGTCATCCAAATTGGATGAGCAAGACACACAAAAAAGTAAGTGCTAAACTTTGACAAGACAAGGTAGCACAGTCCTTCAAATTTCCTATTTCACAGAAAAGTCTGTCAGATATTTTAGGCTGCAAGCTGAAGAAGTATGCCCCAATGTTGCAGAGGAACTTTAGGTGATTGTCCAGGCAGCAAGCTACTTCTGTCATTTCTATAGTTTAAGAAGTTATTTCTTCTACTCTTCCTGTTTATTCAGGTAATATTTTATCTTCCTTGGGTCGCTGGTGGGGTTGAAGATATGATAATTATAGTTTTCTTTGTTACCAAATTCAGAAAAAAAAAAACACAAAAGAAGTATAGGGTGTATGGGTTGAGAGACATAAAAACTTAAATTGTTTAGCTGAGAAAATGTTTTAAGGTCTAAAATGATAGTTTGGGGTTGCTAATAAAAGTCAGTTTTGTAAATTAGGTACGAAACATTGGACTCACCAAGATAGGATAGATAATACAGTAGTTTCTCTGAATTTGCCAAATAAAAATGGCCTGGACATTGTGAATGTAATTCTTACTTGATAACTGTTCTTATTATATATAGTTTTACTCCTTTTTATTTATACAAAAAGGGGGAAATGTTAGGGGACATTTGATTACACTATGCAAACCACGAGTTTGCATTTATGTTGATAAATAAATTAACGTTAAGCTCGAAGGCTGAGTTAGCAACTAGTTGACAGGAAGTAATCATAAAGCATCAGAAGGCATCCAAAAGAGATAGAGGGACACACAATCTAGCAGAAAGGGATTTTTGGAACAGAAGTACAGGTATTCTGGAGACTCCAACAAGGACAGAAGGTTAGCTAGTTGCTACACAGCCACTCTGAGTTCACAGGTCTTCCACCAGCCTTTGAATCTGGAGCCTTACTTATAAATAGTACAACAACAGAGATTTAGTTAAAGCTACCTTTAGTACAAAAACCAGGAGTGGTGACTGAGAAAACAGAATTACCACCAGGAACAGCTGTAAACTGCAGAGCAGCAATTGCTGGTTGAAATAGCATTATATTAAGGTGCAGCCACTGTGCCAAAATTAAAACAACATTGGAGGTCAGCCTGATCTACAGAGAGAGTTCCAGGATAGACAAGACCATAGAGAGAAACCGTGTCTTGAAAACCCAAAAATAAGTCAATGAAAATAAAGAAGTAAATAAAGTCTGGGTTTTCCAAACTACATTCTTTCTAGCCCACCACTATTCCCTCCACTCTGTGTTAAACTCCATACCCACACCATCACCTCTGTTAGTAGCAAAGCAGTCTTTGCAATTGTCCCTCCATCAGCAGCATTCTTACCAATATGCTTCCCATCCCTTGACACCAACTTGGTCTCTTATTAATTATACCTTTATTGTGGTGTTCCCTAGCTTATCCTTGCTGTATTTTCTCCTCAATGAATTAGGCTGCTTAAGTACATATCATCTTCAGAATTTCATAACCCTTTGGTATCTACCTTTCTACACAGCAATTAATAATCTTGAGTTTCCTTTTTCCTCAGTCATTCACTATAAAACCCAACACAACCTCTAGTTGTGATCAGTCATAAAATCCTTGTGTTTCTACTCTTAAACAGCTCTGGTTTCTTTTTCTTTACTCACAGACACTGAAAAGCAGGACTTGGATTTGTAACCTACCTTCTGAATAGCTGTTTCTGCAACAGTCAATTTTGCTCACACTATATACCTGGACCAAAATGACAGAATGGTTCTTCCCAAATTATTAGACTATGCATGTGCAATAAATATCACTGGAAAGCTGAGTAAGTCTTCTAGTCCTTTTTATTGCCCCCTTAAATTCCTACTCAGGGGCTAGGAAGTGATGGTTCATGCCTTTAATCCCAGCACTTTAATCAGGAGGCAGAGGCAGGTGAATCTCTGTGATTTCAAGGCCAGCCTGGTCTACAGAGTGAGTTCCAGGACAGCCAGAGCTACACAGAGAAACCATGTCTTGAAAAACAAACAAAAAATAAAATAAGATAAAAAAGACATTCCTACTCAGAACTTGTTAGGGAAGTATACACAATTGTTGTTTATTGCTTTCAATAAAAACAAATAGAGAATTGATGTCTTAAATTTGAAAAGTAACCTGGCAGTGATTCACAAATGACAAACTGGTTTGGAAGAACCAGGAGTCTTTGGGGGATACTGGCAGTATGATGATAAGCACCTCAGGCAGAACCATCTGATATCAGACCACCTGTTCCACTAACACAGGTATAAAAGCAAACACCACATCACCTTGCCTTCTTCAGTTGCAGATCTTTAGGCAGCACTATTCGGAGGTGGAAGTCACTTCCCTGTGGAAAAGAAAAGTGCAAATTTACTTCAGACAAAACATACTGTCCTATATTTATAAATAATGCAAAGTTTAGCTAAAATTTTTATACTGAATAACATAAGCAACCTATGGGAAATCAAACAGCATTAAGGTAGGACCTGGATTGTCATTTATTTATTTATGTATTTATTTATGTATTTATTTATTTTGGTTTTTCGAGACAGGGTTTCTCTGTGTAGCTTTGGAGCCTATCCTGGCACTCGCTCTGGAGACCAGGCTGGCCTCAAACTCAAAGAGATCCGCCTGCCTCTGCCTCCCGGTGCTGAGATTAAAGGTGTGCACCACCAATGCCCGGCTAGGACCTGGATTTTTAAAGAAAAAGAAATAAGGAAAAGAAATACTATGAAATTGTTAACAAACACACACAAAAATTATTTCTTAAAGTATAAATTCAATTCACCAAAATAGAATATTGCATTAAGTTGATATGGATGGTGAAAAAAATGACAATATAAAATAATGAATGTATAATATATTCATATTTCAAGTTTGCAATTTCTATGTTTTAACAAAATAAAAATATAGTGTTATATAACTTCAGTGTTTAGAAATAACAGATTATTTTAGGGGCTGGAAAGATGTATCAGCAGGCAAGCAGCTTGCTGCATAAGCATGAATATCTAAGTTCAAATCCCAGCACCCACATAAAAAGCCTGTAACCCCAGTGCTGTGTACATGGATACAGAAGGATATCTTGGATTTGCTGGCCTCCAGCCTAGAACTAAGCTCAATAAGAGACCATGTCTCAAAATAGCAGAGAATGGGCCGGGTAGTGGTGGTACTCGCCTTTAATCCCAGCACTTGGGAGGCAGAGGCAGGGG